GCAACGGCGCACAGCCCATGAACGCAATCACCTGGTTGCGTGCCACAGACGGTCAGATAATAATAATAATAATAATCCTCGCATTTGATATAGCGCTTTTCACGTCGGGAGGACCTCCCAAAGCGCTTCACAGAACGCACTGTAAAGTGAATTGACTGTATATTTGTGGGCGAACGCGGCGGCCAATTGCGCACAGCAATGTCCCACAAACAGTCGTAGATTGAAAATGACCAATTTATTATTGTTTTTGGTTTTGGAGGGATTATTATTAGGCTCTGTGTGGAGTAAGGAAACTTGCCCGAGGTTTCGCCCTCTGCCTGGAATTGAACTCAGGTCTCTCACTTGCAAAGCGAGTGCTCTAACCACTGAGATACAGGACTCCAGATGTTCCGCCTTGAGTTTGTTGCATTTTTTTGTTGTTGTTCGAGGTTCCTGGGAAGCTGTTGCGTTGTCGATGGGGTCGAATGGTCCCCCAGGTGACCCGGGGAACTCTGCAGTAACCCACGGCGGTGTTGATGTTCCATCAGACTCTGATCGAGAGCCGAGGGGACCAATTGAGAAACCAGAGGATTAGAGAGCTGGTTAGAAATTGGCTTTAAACTTCCCCAAAGTTTACACACGTGCTCAAAAAAAGGAACGCTTGGGGTTTGAGTTCTTCCAATGCCTACATTACACATTCCTTCTCCCCTCCCCTCCCTCCCATCCCCACCTAACATGACCTGTTCCACCAGTTCCCAATGAAAGCTTGCTGTGTGCAGATCATCTCTGCATTTGCATTGAAATACACAGTCGCTATGATTGGCAGCAATTTCCCGGCCAAATACTTAGACGATCCAGGTGTGGTATCTAACACGGAGATCATTCGCATATTGTCATGTAACGCATGCGCATCTCAGTGCGGCAGTGATTTTATTTATAGAAGGCGAGGTGAAAATGTTACCCTTTCCTTCAGTCACCGCACAAGTCACTAGGAACTCCTCTCAACGCCACCTGCCTAAATATGGCAGGAGGAATGCTTTGGGCACAGTGTTATCTGTGCTGCCTGACACCAGTGTCCCCTGTGTGAAGCCCAATCGTTTGAAAACCTATCTGCTGTACTGTGGGGGTGCCTTGCAGAAGCCACTTCAAAGGAGTTTGTGGCCTTCTCTTTTGTTCATTTCCTAGGAGTCCCGTATCGTCGTGGTTAGAGCATGTTAGAGGACCCGGATTCGATTCCCCCAGGCGGGGCGAAACCTTAGGCATGTTTCCTTACTCCACACACCTCCGTGGAGTTTGGAGATTGGCCGATCGCTTTCCGGGGGGGGGGTAATAATCCCTCCAAAAAAAAGTCACTCGATCCACAATTGTTTGTGGGACACTGATGTGTTCAATTGGCTGTCGTGTGTGGCCCACAAAATAATAAGAATAATCCTTGCATTTGATATAGCTCCTTATCACACTGTTCAGACGTCTCAAAAGTGCTTCACAGAATATATTGTAATGTGAATTGACTGGACGTTTTGGGGGGCGAACGACACTGTCAGATAGTATATCACAGTATATTCTGTGAAGTGCTTTGAGACTTCTCAATGACATGATGAGGATTTATATCAAACACAAGTTTTATTATTATAGGAGCAGATCTAGAACCTTACTGGGGACTGGGGTGATCTTGCACCAAATTCATTGTATTCAAGGTAAAACCGTGGTGAGTACAACCAACAGCAACAGCAACTTGCATTTATATACCCCGCTTCACGCGGGCTAGTGTCCCGGTGGGATTGACCGTGGCGGAGTCTGACCCTGAGCCAGGGGATGAGGGAGTTGACCGTAAGCACGGTCAAAAAAGGAAGGTCTTTAAGCGAGATTTGAAAGCCTGTGCCCGAAAACCGACTGCAAGGCGCCATGAGCTGTCCTGTTCTTTCGCTTGACTGAAGAGGATGCGTTGGAACTTGCTGACGCTGAGCAGTGTTGTAAATTGGGAAAACCTCCAACGTTAATGACGTGCCTGAACTATTTTCCCGGCCAGGAATAAAAAATTTTTTTTGAAGGGATTATCATGACCGGAAAGCGATCCGCCAGTCGACTTAACATCCGGTTTCCTACTTACTTCTTGGTAAACAGAGACGGGTGGAGTAAGGAAACCTGCCGAGGGTTTCGCCCTGTCCGCGAATTGAACCCGGGTCCTCTCGCTTGCGAGGCGAGGGCTCTAACCGATATGCTATGGGATTCCACAGAAGTGCGTATGTGACAGAGCTGCTCTCACTCACGTAGAGGAGGGTGGGGTGCAGGGAGTGTGTTACAGTATACACCGTGTACTTTACTATTAACCGCCTTCAAAACCAGAGTGAGGATCAAGCTTGGCACATTTCTGTGTGGTTTGCACACCACCAGACTGGCTGACACACCACAAATAACTCTCAATCTATGAAAGCTCAGAGTGGGCTTCACACTTGGGTTCAAATTCAAGGCAACGATGTTGGGTTTCCTGTTACAAGGGAGTCTGCACTGCATTGCAAGTGGCTCAGTTACTGGAATCTCTTCGGGTTGAGTTTTGACACTTGGGTTAAATATCGGTGGGAACTCAACCCCTCTATTTTTATCTGTTCTGCTGCATGTGTGAATTTCAGCATGGATGCTGTGAGCAAGAAACAGACCTGGCTTTATCCTGCTGAATATGAAGTCTTTTTTTTGTTTTGTTTGTTTAAATGTTCTTTTGTTGGAACGCATTTACCGAGAACCTGTTGTCGCTTCAGCTGTTGTCTTTCTCTTTCCCCTCTTTCATCGGAACCCATCTGTCAGATCTGGGATGGTTTTATTATTGCTACTCTGAATGGGTGTTAGCTGCTGAGAGGGGAACTTTCTCTCCCTCGCTTCCTATCCTTTCCCACCCCTCCCAGTTGGACTTGTTTCCTGGAACAATTCGCATCGCGAACTCACATTGTGCCCAGTTGGAGCAGATAATAATAATCCTTGCATTTGATATAGCGCCTCAATCAGGTCTTCGAGACGTCTCAAAGGGCTTCACAGAACACTCTGTGAATTGACTGTGTATTTTGCGGGCGAACGCGGGCAGCCAATTGCACATAGCAGCGTCCCGCAAACTGTCATGGATTGAAGTGACCAAATTAATTTTTTTGGTGAGATGTATGATTTAGGTGATTATACAATTTAAACAGATCGGACTTTTGTGAGTCTTACTGTAATATATAGCCCCTGATCTCACATGTCAAGTCGTGGGTTTAGATGCCTCCAAATTATTATTTTAATTTCAATAAAATAGCCAACGTTATTCTCGATGCGCCGTTTCCCGGGACGGGCACGCAGAAGGCAGACGGAAAACACCTCGCTTTTCTTTTTTTTACACACGCACACACACGGACACGCACCGTGTTTGTGTGTGTGAAGAGTGAGTGGAGTCCCAGCGAACACTACAGGTTTTCACCCCATGAAATGCGCACTAATTTGGATGCACGCTGAGTACTTGCTGTAGCCTCTGAACCCCCACTGTTTGTAAACCGTAGTGAGTTGAACACCAAAAAGCTCCCTATTATCAAGATCTGGCATTGTGCCATTCACACACTGCCAACAGAACAAACACCTCAGTGGTTTTGGGTGTTAGACCACTGCACTGTCTCCTTTCCTGAGCAAACCAACGCTGAAATCTGTGTGAAAATCTTTCATTTTGTAGATATTAAGGAGAGGAGATCTTTGGTAAGATTTGTAATTTTTTGAAGAAAAAAAACAAACCTTTTGTTTTGAGAAGAGATTGAAGGCAAATCCCCCCCCACCCGCCATCGCCCCACCGTGTCGTTGAGGGAATGGAGGCGAGAATGGGTTGTCATGGTCTACGTGGGGGAAGGGATGAGAGTTAACATCATTTTATAATACTTGCATTTGGTAGAGAGCCTTATCCCGTTGTTGAGACGTCTCAAAACGCTTCACAAAATATACTGTAAAGTGGATTGACTGTGTATTTTTGTAGACAAAACACAGCAGCCAATTGCGCACAGCTGCGTCCCACAAACGGTCATGGATTGAGTGACCAAATTTTTTTTTGGAGGGATTATTACGCCCAGAAAGCGATCCACCAATTGACTAATAACCGGATTCCTACTTACTGCTAGGTAAACAGAGGTGTGTAGAGTAAGGAAACTTGCCTAAGTTATCACTCTGCCCGGGAATCGAACCCGGGTCCTCTCGCTTGCGAGGCGATCGCTCTCACCACTACACTACAGGACTCGCGCATCTTGTGAAGACCTTTCTTTAAATGTGTAATTGGTGCTTTCTGTCATTTTTCTTAGAATGCTCTTCGTTTGTTTTTTTTTGTGTTCTTTCTAATTAAGACCAGTGAGAAACGCTGAGGAATCTCTGAGGAATCGATTTAGGCTTGGCGTGCTATTGTTTTGAGTCCGTTTACATTGGATTGCAATCGTCTTATTAATGTTAAGTAAGTTGACGGAGACGTCGATCCATTGTATAGCAATGACCCAATTTGACTGTACATCAGAATTTCCTAGATTGCAGAACTGTGTTTACGCAATTGTTGCTGTTTGATGTAGTCACGGTTCCAAAAGTCCTGCAAGATATGAATCTCTATTACTGCAGACTGACTTGCTCGTAGAACACTTGCAAAACGTAATGATTCTCTCGAATCTTTTTGATATTTTTTTTCGTTGGGTGGGTCAGTGAGGCAATACTGCATTGTACTGTTATTCTATCTTCAGAAGGGATTATTACCCCCGGAAAAGCGATCCGCCAATCGAATAACAAACGGGTTCCTACTTATACTATTATATTATACTGTTATCTACTGTATTATACTACTCCTGTTCCTATAGGTTACCCACCGGGAGGGGATCAAACCCAGGTCCTCTTGCTTAAATGTGTTAACTTTTTTTCTCTCTATTCTTCTTCCCTTCCCCCTTCTGCCCACCCCCCACCCCCCACCCCACCGAAAATGCTCGCTCCTCTCTCCCTCTCCATTGAATAACGGCTAACGGTGTCTCCTTTTCCCTCAGATGCTTCAGGATTGCCCGAAAGCCCGGCGAGAGGTAGATCTGCACTGGAGAGCATCTGGCTGCACACACATTGTACGAATTATAGACGTCTACGAAAATCTCTACCAGAGTAAAAAGTGTCTACTTATTGTAATGGAATGGTGAGTCCTTGTGTTGAGCCTCTAACTGGCCTCTCGCTGGTCATCCTGTTCATCAGAATTACAGAGCTTTGGCGCTGTATATTTAAGGATAGGAATGGATGGGGGAGATGTTGACAGGTGCTGTGTGCCAGGAGTAGCGTGGGGGGAGGATATGGTGATTTTTGCGTCCGTTACATTAGCCCCACTCTTATAACGAGGTGCTTTCAGCCCTCTGAGACTCTACACTGCGTGGGGGGTGAGGGGGCACTATATAAGTGCACGTTGTTGTTGCAGTGGTCATTGTTGCTTTGTTACGAACCCGGTCAGTCGGGCTGTATGAAGGCGTGTGCTGTTGTGACACCCTCTTGTTGCTGTCCTCGAACGTGTCCCTAACCACGCGCTGTCGTATTTCTCAACGAACACAAGTCCTGGTGAGAAAGCGCCAAGTTCTTCGTTCTTAGAAAACGCGGTTTGCTGTGCAAGTGAAAATTCATTGTTTCAATGACTACCAGTTACAGGAAACAAGCGCCTTGGCGATATTGAGTCATACCTCTTTATCGTCTCAAAATCAACCTGATTGATATTTGACGACCTGTATGAGTCTCTTGGCTGGGATAAGGCATTGAAGGTCCCAGACATTCTTGGTTATCGTTCTAAGTAGTGAAAAATGTGAGTCACACTTCTCGGGCTCGGCGTGCCTCAGAGCAGTGACCTGGGTGGGGTTCTGAGCTCTCAGGTTGCCGATGTATGCAAAGTGACATTTTGTTCAGCTTCGCTGAGCTGTGCTCTTCGGTCTGCCTGGCTCAGTCAGTCGTACTGTCGCTTCTAGGTCAGATGGATGTGGGTTCAAGCCCCGCACCAGGACTTTGAGTTCACAGTCTTTACTGATGTTCCAATGTGGTTGGGTGGGTCTGTGTGTGTGCATGGGTGGGGGGCGGTAGGGGGTTGGGTGGTTGGAAAACGCAGTAAAACAAGCTATCGTGCCTCGCTGTTAGTTCAAGTTTATCGATGTTTGGGATACAACAAGGCTAAACTGTGCAAGGTCACTTGACAGGAATTGCTTGTGAAATCCTATAAGACATTTTGACATATTTATTTCTAAAAAATGCATGGATTATTGCCGTGCAACATGGCTGATTCTGACGTTAATAGTATTTCACGGTTTGGAGCGAGGGAGAGATCATCGACCATGTCCCTAATTCACTCCTACTTTCCCCATTGCTTTCTAGAATGCCCATGTTTTTTTTCCCCTCTTCTTCCTCTCTGTGGTAATAACAAACTCATGTCTTGCTGGGATCAGTGTCAAACGGGTGAAGAAGGCTGTTGTGTAATGGAGAGCCAACAGGGCTTGTGACATGGAAGAAGTACATCATTGGGGAAAGGATTTGCATCACAGCGCTCGGAAACTCAACTGTAAATTTCGGGAAGAACAGGATTCCCTACAGGAACCCGGGCAGACTTTTATTCACGTCATGAAAAGTCTTTCGTCCAAGTCTTTTGCATGTTGGAGTTTGCTAGTAAAGTGCTGAAGGGCATTAGCTCGCTGCCAAGAAAGATTCAAAGCCAATTAAATTTATTTGAGTTTATTCTTCGTGGAAGAGAGTTTGTTAGTCCACCCCCTCTCCCGTGACTATTTTTATATCAGGTTAAAATAATAGGAGGACGTCTCAAATCGCTCTGAGGTATAATGACTGTACTTTGTAGGTGAACTTGACAATGCATTTGTACACAGCAATGTCCCACAAACTTCTGTGAAGTGAGTGACTAATAATAATAATATTGTAATGATAATAATAATTCTTACCTTTGACATAGTGCCTTATCACTTCGTTGAGACGTCTCAAAGTGCTTCACAGATTATATCATAAAGTGGATTGACTTTGTTTTTTGGGCGAAAAGCGGCAGCCAATTGCACACAGCAGTGTCCCACAAACAGTCGTGGATTGAGTGACCAAATTTTTTGTGGGTGGTGGGGGAGGGATTATTACCCCTGGAAATGGATCCGCCAATCAATTAAAACTGGGCTCCTGCTTACTGCTGGGTAAACAGAGGCGTGTGGAGTAACGAAACCTGCCTAAGGTTTAGTCCTGCCCGGGAATCCAACCAAATCTGAGTCTTTCGCTTGTGGGACTCCACGTTATTTGGTGGGATTGATGGCCAGGTTACTGGAGAAACTCCCTTCTCTTATCGAATACAGCCTTGAAATCTGAAGAGGCAGATGGGGCTTGGTTTAATAACATCCCATCCAAAAGGCAGCACCTCTCTCTGGCAGTGCAGTGTGCTGCTGGAGTACAAAGCCGCCGATTTTTGTGCAGTGGTAAGTTGCTGTGTATCCGCAGACATTCAACGGTTGCCCACCGAATGCAGTGGGGACCGGACGTTTAAGCCAGAGTGCACCATAAGAGAGGAGCAAGAGATCATCTTCTGAGAAGAGATATGGTCCGATTCTTTTCTCTCTCTCTCTCTCTCTCTCTCTCTCTCTCTCTCAGAAAGAAATCTGAAAGCTCTGCGGTCTGCGTTGCTGACGTTTGTTTTTAAAACCTGTGGCGCGTGTCTGAGTTATTAACTGAGTTTGCAGGTAATCAAATTTCCTTAAGGTAATGCGGTTTCTTTGATGTCACCGCACGCTTGTGTTCTGTGTTGTGTTTCCCATGACTTGCCATGGTTTTCGCGCAGCATTTCACTTTGGTGATTCACTCCTGGGGTTTCTAACACTTTATACCACAACACTGTCATAACCTTTTAGGTATTACCAGCCTGCACTGGTTTTGACTGTCGTCTCTTCGTTGTGCATTAACCTCAGCGGGTCTCTGCACCTAGCGCTCCATAAATTTAACGTAAAAGACTACAAGGTATTTGTGGTTGCTGTATCACTTCTCTTACTCACTGCGAGTGGAAATTCGTTGATAACTTAAAAAANGGTATCAAAGCACTCCCTGATAATTTTATTTGACTGCTTGGGTCCTGGCAGGGGAAAAAACAGGACTTTGCCATATATTAAACCTCACATAAGTCAAATCCGTTAGGACCGTATGTATAATATAACTTTTCAAAGTATGAGTTGTGTCAAACTTGCCTAAATCGTATCATGTATGACTTGTGTAAAGTTGTGTACAAGTCTAGTTTTATATGACTTGCACATAACAAATCCACAAGTACTGAACTGACTGGTGACATCAAGGCAAGTTTTCTATGCCATGTTTAACCCACGTATATTAAAGCTATGATAGCCCATTGTTTCCATACACAGTGGTGCCCAATACTGGGATGATAAGTTTTCTTCTTGTTCTTGAGATATTCATTCAAAGTCTGTGGCTTCAAATCAAACTTGGAGGCAGTGTTCTTTTTTCAGATGTCCCCACCCACCCCTCCGACCTAAGAACGGTTTTCTGATTTCACGTCTCTTAAAATGGTCTTAAAAGAATTCCGTTTCTCGCCTGCAGTTCCATCTTCTGTTTCTACTGCTAATTCTTGCTCAACTCAATAAAATGCTGCATAGAGGGAGTGAATCTAGAATGGCGAGTGGGCAACTTTTGCCTCTGGTAGAGAGAGAGATTCATTACAAGGTGGGCAGAAATCAGAACTAAGGTCCTTAGAACTGAGATCGGAAGCACTTCTTGACCCAAAGTGTTTTGAAGCTGTGAGATGCTTCGCCCCAGAAAGTTGTAGAGTTGCTATTAATGGTGGGGGGGTTGTTTAAAACATTAGTTATTAATAGCACCTTTACAAGTCAGAGACATACTTGGATGATAGAGATATTGAAGAGTATGAGAAAATAGCAGAGCATTGGAATTAAGAGATCTGCCGATACCATCTAATCAAGCGCAGGGACAGGCTTGGTGGGCTGAATGACCGCCCCGTGTTCCTATTTTCCCACGTTCCCGAGTTTTATAAAACTTGGGAAGTTCTGGATGTAGTTCAGGTCAACTGCCAAAAGCCAACTTTCCCAAATGTAGATTTGGCCCCTGAATGGTGCCTCGTGTGTTGTGTTAAGAAGCAATTGACTGGTTTAATCTTTATGAAGCTTCTGGATTTATTCGCCCCCGCACGTTCCCTTTTCATGTTTATCCCCATTCTGGCCACTTTGCCCCCGAAATTGTGATGTTAAGACTCAGCGTTTTCCAGTGCACTGTAAACGCAACCGAGTGCGTGCCTGCGTACACGATTGCCCTAAGCCACTTGATGGTTTTTTTTCCTTTCAAAACAATCTTTTGAAAAGCTTGTAAAATGTGTCATTTGATAAAATTGCAAATGTGTCAGCGGACCCGCTTAACGCAAACTCTGCACAGATCCTGGCAGGTATAGGTGGCTTGTGCAGCTCGCGGTTCTCTTGAAAAGCCACAGCCAAAAAAAAACCGCTTGTATAACGTGCAGGTATTACTCATTCAGTCGCATGATCGAGGAGGCTGATTTGATTTGTAAGCGACTTTCCAAGTGTGTAGAGAACAACGGTGTGTAGAGAACATTGCTTTCTCATTCCCTTCCTTGAAATGGCGTCAGCAAGGCAGATGAGATTGGTACCTTTTCGTTCGTGCGCAGTTTGGGGGTTTTGGCTGAGGTAAACACTTAGCACCTCAAGCTAGTGACGTACTTTTGCGCTCCTCCGAGTTTCTGTCTGCTGTTCACACCTAGACTGCCAATGAAGCATTTACAATTATCCTTGCATTTTGATATAGCGTCTTATCGCCCAGTCAAGTCATCTTGAAGCGCTTCGCAGCATTCTTCCTAAGAAGTGTAGTGACTGTACGCAAACGTGCGCAGCGGTGTCCCAGAAACGGCCGTCAAGCGAGCGATCAGTTTTATCTGGAGGATTGTTGGCCAGGACACCAGGAGAAGCTCCTCACTCTTATCAGACATTGCCATGTTTAATGCCCACCTGAACAGAGAGAGACGGGACCTCAATTTAACCTTTCATCTGAAAGATGGCACCTCCAACAATGTATTGGAGTGTCAGCCTTGACTGTGAGTTCCAAGTCCCAACATGAGGGGCTTTGAACCCACAACCTTCTATGCTCGGAGGC